CTAAAAAAAAAGTCATAAAGAATGGTGCAAAAATAACTGTGCATATACTCATTTATTTTCTCATTATTGCTAATAAAAAACTGCCCATTACTAAAACTAAGAACTTGAACAACAAATAAAAAGGACTCAAATCTCATAGAAAATCATTACGAACAACCAAAATCTTAATCTCTCAGACCCTAAAACAAATTCTTTTTTTCTATATAAAAATTATATATTTTTTCTATATAAAAATTATAAAAACAAAGCTTTTTCTTAAATTTGACTTTGATTTCTTTAAACCTGCCAAAGTTACCTTGAGATGTCAAATTTTATTCAAAGCTTTCTATACTGGAATGAAAAGAGTGCATTCTAAAGCCAAAATCTAACCTTTAAAGAAATATATTAAATATTATACATAAAATTATCAAAATCAGTACATAAGTATAGCAAATTCTTATTCAAATTGAAGAAAATGGTCACTAGTAGTAAGTTCACAAACTACTTTTACTTAATCGCCTTAGAATCTGAAATTACCTTCAGGATGAGTTACATTTCAGAGCAGTATATTGCTTGACTAAAGAATATTTAATATAGATTTATCATTTACTGGAATAAATTCACTCTTTTAGTTTTTCTTCCAACTTTTTTTCATTTTTACAAATAATTCTAAATGAGGGCAAACATTATGTTCTATAAAATAAACTAGGGCAATGACAAAGGACAAGGGAAGGAATCCATAAAGTAAGAATCAATAGAAGTAAAGTCAACAGTAAAATGGAAACTTTCATGTCAAAATCTTAAGAGGGAAGTTTTCCACCTTCAGTAAGAGTTACTTTAAAACAAGATTCAGTTAAACACTGGGCTTAATCTAGATCTGAAAAAGTTGAAATACATCACACCAACCTAACAGTGCAGACCATCTTTAATTTACAAATATGCTATTGCTAATGTTTTGTCAATAGCAAATGTTGCTTGAATTGTTTTGCTTTATTTTCTGATGACTATCTACATCCTTCCTAGTCTGATTTAGAAGAAAATGGATTTTAGGCACAGCTGGACAAAACAATGGAAGTACCATTCCAATTTTCCACCAGATAGAAATAGGTAATGTATACTTTATTAAATTATTATTTCAATCCCTCATTGCAAGTTGCTGCTTAATTCTGAGATGTTTCTTTTCATAAAGATAAGAAAGGAGGCTAGCAGAATATAATTCCTGACCAACATTCCCTAGTGGCTCTATTTGCTCTGCAGAGTATCTTTCATTCAAATAATACATGGGCCCTCCGAAAGCTATAGCTCTGAAACTCCTGAGATTCTGCTCCTTTCATCTTTGTTGAAACTTGGAAAACTGGTAGATTATAAAGAAAAGTTCTTTAGCTTTCATTGGAGGTGTCACACTCAGGCTTACAGGTAGCATCAGTAACTATAAGGAATGTAGCTCCAGAAAGTTAAAGCACATCCTCCTTTCCAGTAGATTCCTTAGCCCACACAGATTTTCATGGCAGCATTACCAGTTCCCAAGAGGCTTGGGACAAGAAAAATTTATTATGTCACCACTGTTGCTTTCAGAGTAGATCACACATTTGTGAGATAAATGGGTATATGTGAATGTGGAAGCATATTATTGTCAACGTATAATGACTGATTTTATTAGGTATGATCATGACTTTTAGTTATATAAAAAAATTGTCTAAAGTATTTTTTAATAGTTGCATGCTCAAAAGTAAGTAGAAGTGAAATGTCATGATGTCTGAGGTCTACAGAACTACATAAAATACTTCAACAAAAAGAAGAAATAGATGAGGCAAGTGCTACAAAACTGTAGTAGTAATAATGTGGGAGCATTATTCTACTATTGTATCTGTATGAAATCCCTTATCACAAAAGAAATTTTAGTTAAGCTTTGGGGTAGTTAAAAGCTGTATGTGAACCTTCAACTATGCAGGAAGTCGGTGTCCCAACTTCGCTGTTGTTCAATGGTCAACACTGCTATCAAATTGCATCAGACTTAAAGGATCAAACAGAATGAATTTTTGGGTGTCACCTTTTGTTTGCATATGATTGAATAATTTGATTATATAAAAAGGAAAGTGCTATAAATTGTTGTTTATTCTAAAGTCTAAAAAACATCTGGGAATTTACTGTCTAGTTTAAAGAAAATGAAAACAGAAAAACTTAGTTTCTGTTCACTGAATTCCTACTCAATCACAAAACCTCAGAAAGCCAAAGTTATTTTTACATTTCCTATTACTTGACCTCTTTAGCAACTTCTGACTGAGGCTATAGAGTTAGGGGTTACCTAGGCTGATGGTTCTCAAACTGCAAATTCTCACCTTGGACAATGGGGATCTATTGTTTTGACTTACAGGTGTAAAAGGCTAGGTGGAAGACCTGTGTGGAAGTCAGTAATCCAGTATCTAAAGGGAGGAAAGTAGAAGCAGAATAAAGATTTGTTTTCAACTACAAATTCATAAAGAAGCGCATAATTATAGACCAGAATCATAGTTATAAAAACTCTAGAATATCCCAAATTCATGGAAAAAAATGTATGTGTACAATTCTTCTGTACTGTCTATTCTGATCTATTCTATTCTATTCTATTCTATTCTATTCTATTCTATTCTATTCTATTCTATTCTATTCTCACAGATAAAAAGATTAAATACATACCAAAATGCTAAAACTGATTACATTTCTAGAAATTAAGATTACATGTATTGTTAATTTTCCACAATTAGCACAAAGCTTTTTTTTAATAAGTAAAAGGGTTTTTTGTTGTTACTGCTGTTGTGTTTTTTTGTCTGTTGTTTTTTTTTTAAAGCAAAAGGGCCACATAATTTTTCCTGGGGCAACTAAGAAAGATGGTTTTGGGTTGGGGAAAGTGGAAGTGAAAATAAAGTCATGCAGAGTTTCATTTAATACAAATACTAAAGTTACTGGGGCAATGGAGACCAAATACAAATGGTATGAGTATGGTCTAACTTTCACAGGAAAAAGGCACGCTGATACTACTTTAGGAACAAATTTTAATTGAAGACCAGGTTTGTCATAGTTTAAAACTGACACTTAACACCTCCTTTTCACCAAACACAGGAAAGAAAAGTGGTCAAATCAAATCATCTTTAAAAAGGTAAGCTATGATGTTGACTTTGATTTTGCTGGATTCCAAGGCATGATTCAGCTATCTTTAATCATGAAAACTGGCTTGCTGGGATGGCCAGATGACCTTTGATAGTGGCAATCAAAGCTGAAGGAACAACTTTACAGGACTGGTGACTTCTAGGTACATGCTAATGTAAATGATGGGACAAAATTTGGGGGATCAATTTATCAGAAAATATTTTACACTTCCTTAAAACTTGTTTGGACATCAGGTACTAACTGCATTTGTTTTGGCATTGTAATTAATTATCAATTGGCTCCTACTGCTTTCATTTCTGCAAAGTCAACAACTATAGTTTAATTGGAGTGTGCTACACTCAGATGCTAAGGCCTGGTGTGGAACTTACACTGTTTGCTCTGGTAGAGAGGAAGAAAATTAATGCTGGAAACCAAAAACTTTGAGTTGCCCTGGAGTAGGAGGCTTAATCCAGCTGAAAGAAACCTCTTAGAATGAGCTGAAGCCCAATGCTGACATAAGCATGGGCCCAAGTAAGCTCTGTGGATGAGTGTGGGGGTGGAGTCAACCTCGCGGTGGACCTGCTGATATTAGTACTGGCCCCAGGAAGCTCTCTGAATGAAGTAGACTTCCTCTACTGGACAACCCACAGACATCAAAGCATAGTCAGCCAACTCTGGGGAGAGGTCTAAAGTCAAACCCATGACACGGAATAATGCCACTGAATGAGATGGATCTGTGGATATTTTAAGAGGAGGTTAAAAAAATTGTTCAATTCAACCATCATTTGAATTGCTTCTGGTATACCCAAACATTACAAATTATCAATGAAATATGTATACATTAAAAAAAAAGCACAAAATCTTAGTCTGTCCTTACTCCATACTACCATGATGCACCCTAATGGTGTCCCCACTACCAGATCAATGACTTCCAATCCAACCTTCACACAGTTACTCAAGTTCTAAACAGTGTGAACACTGGAAAATTTATTTAAAAAATATTAGGACCACAGGATACTTTAAACTCTCAAATGTATATAACTACCTGTTTACTTTTATCAGTTCAACTTCCCATCCAAACAGTAGCCTCCAACAAAGACTCAACAACTGGAGTCCCCTGAACACCCCCTACTCTGGCTTTGTGCCTCTGCATACACTCTACTGTGGTGTGTGCTTCCCTATTTTCATCTACCTAGCAAACTCCTTTTCAATCTTTATGTCTAACTCAAATGAAGAATCTTCTGGAAAGCACTCCTAGTCTGAATGGTCCCTCCACTATATGCCCTAGTTACTTGAACATAACATTTTACAGCAGCTCTTATGCAACTGCAATTATCATTCAAAAATTACATTAAACCATGAGATACTTAGGCTTAGCAACTACATATGTCCATGTATCTAGAATAATGTCTAGAGTAGGTACTCAATAAATATTTGATGAATTCATTAACAAATGTATTAGTTTTCACTGTATACTTTTATACATATCTGAGTAATAAATTACAGGAACAGAAAAACAGGTATTCATATTGGTAATATTGGTTTCTAAATGAAACTAATTCAAAGTTTAACACCTACTTAAAAAAATAGGAAAGATCAAACCAAACATATACTGAGCAAAACTAAGACTATAAAACCATACCAATGCGGAATTACCAATCTCCTTAAACAGTAATTTGAGAATTACATATTGTAGAGAAGTTTTTGTTTTTTCCCTTTGCATAATGGAAATAATTCAAAGATGTATTTTCTCTTTCAAATCAGTTCAGTGAGAATAGCTGATAACCAGGGAAACTCCTATGATCAATGGCAAGAAGAAAGACTCGGCACACAATATTCATTTCCATATATCTTAACGTTCATCAGGGCCTGCCTATTGCCTACAGTGAATTTACCTGAGCTAAAGTAGGGAATGAATTATGACCAGTCTCAGTCTGCATATGGGCAGATTCGCTCTCTGCCACAGAATCTGTTATACTTCCATCCTGCTGAGATTCAATTGTTTCCATGGTCATTTGTCTGAAAAGACAACAAAAAGGAAGAAGTATTAAGGCCCTATCTGAAATATTTCTGTTTTTAACCTAACTTTCTGATTGTAATTTTCATTATCCAATTGTACTATTTTGCATTTTGAAGAAATAGGTTCAGAGTTGAAGTCCTAAATTTCCAAATTAAAGGTAACTTCTCTGCTCACAAGATACGAACATTAATAAGGGAGAACTGCAAAAATTTTATGGGAATTAGTTTAATTTCTTAACCTTATAATAAAGCCTCTTTGAAAATTATTTTAAGTCTTCTAGTATGAATAATACTTTACATGAAAATATAAATATTATATGACTTTCAAGGTCTAATATACCTGCTTCATATGATGCAGTATGAAAGAATTTCTGTTGACTAAATTGAATGGGTTGTATCAGAAAAATATGTCTTGCTTTGTTGGCACTAAGTAGTTTTTAATAAACAAGTATCTCAAATTGAATCACTCACAGCTGATCACTTCCCCCGTAGCTCCCAGTTATTTAAAGAGAAGACTAATTTTTCCAGGAAAAACTTTAGACCTCCGCAGACCTGATGGATTATGACAATGTCCCCACAACTGTCTTTACCCCTTTGGAATATGGCTGTGTGGGGCTGTCAGAGGAGGAGGCTGTAGCTTGCCATGGAGAGGAGCATGTGGAGGTTTACCACGCATATTATAAACCACTGGAGTTCACAGTGGCTGAAAGGGATGCATCCCAGTGCTATATAAAGATGGTGTGTTTTCGAGAGCCTCCACAGCTGGTGCTGGGCCTGCACTTCCTTGGCCCCAGTGCAGGAGAAGTTACTCAAGGATTTGCTCTGGGGATCAAGTGTGGGGCCTCCTATGCACAGGTAATGCAGACAGTGGGCATCCATCCCACCTGTGCTGAGGAGGTGGCCAAGCTGCGCATCTCCAAGCGCTCAGGCCTGGACCCCACCATAACAGGCTGCTGAGGGTAAGCCACCATCCCTGCCAGGCCCAGAGCACAAGGCACACCTGCCACCACCCACAGCCTGGCTCTTCAGAGGCTGGGATCCAGGATCTGGGCAAGCTTTGCCCCTAACTGGACGGCTCCTGCGTGGAGGGCCCCTGAGGTAGCCAGTGTGGGGCAGCTTATATGGAGGAATTGCCTGTGTGCCCTGCAGGGATGGCTTCTGGGGGCTGCTAGCCCCTACGCCTGCATTTTGAATCCTTTCCTGCCTGGGCTGGCCTTGCCGGCCCCGAATGCCAGATGATGACGACCTGTGCAGAAACCCACCCTATGGGCTGCTCACATCCGAGCCCCCCTGGTATTTTCTGGAGTTATAAAGAGGATATTTCCCTTAAAAAAACTTTTATAAATTTTTGCTTATGAATTTAAGTTAATAGTTTCTCTATGGAATCTTCTCTACAGAACAAAACATACTGTAATAAATTTTACCTTACTAGGAGAAAATATAGAACAAAATAAATTAAACCCAAATCAAATTTTAAAAATTTATAGAAAACACTCTCTGCTGATACACATATTTCAATTGTCAGTAATATGTGTTTTTTCTTTTTCATCTTAGTAGTCTAAGTATAGATCCACAAAGTATACAAACCACTTAGGACTTTGAATTAAAATGTCCGTAACTTTTTTATTCCAGATTTAGTTACTAAGTCCTATAGATCCTTCATCTACTATCTTTCACTGAATACCTTCTTTGGCATTTCAACAGCTATTACCTGAATCTAAACCTTCCATTTTCAGATCTTTTTGAGATAATTTAGAGCAATCATAGAAAAGAAAAATCTACAGTTTACTATGAAAATGTCTTTCTCTCAGTACTTCCCAATTTCTTTATGTCTACTTTTAACATTCCCTGTATGGCCTTTCCAATTCTAGGTATCCTACAGGTTCTCATCATGCATAAACTATCAATTCCTATGGCTCCACTTTTGCTTACAGTCCCCAAAGAGAACACTTCAGAACATTAGTTCTACAGAACATAAAGAGGTATATATCTGGGAAAGAGGGTAGGGGGAATGTTTAGTTAAAAAGTCTTAAATATCCAGATAAAAAATTTCTATATTGCAGAATTTCTCAAAAGTTTGAAGATGCCAGTGTGAAAAGGGTGCAGCACTTCCAAAAGTACCTAACCCTCAGACACCCTTTTTCTACCAAACATTTCCAAGCAATAACGTTTTGTAGTAACTTGAGAAATGTCTCATATTATCTCTCACACTTTTATTAATACCTCTTTTAAGGTTCTGCCACTATGGAGATCACACACCACAGAATGGACCTCCCCTCAGGCCATGACTAAACTGTGATGTTCATACTTACATGCGAGTATCACATCCACTAACACCTCAAGCATTTCAAAATATTTACACGTTAAAGTGCTTTTATACATATTATCAAATGCAGTCACCTTAATTGTTCTTCTTTTTGTCCTGCATGTTTCCCAGAATTTGTCTTCACCTTTTGCCTTTTTGCAACCTACTATGGTTTCTTCAATCATACATGCAGATGGCTCCCAAATCTTTGTGCATCCCTCTCTCCTTTTAAGCATCTCAACCTATTGTTTTCAGAAATGCCTGTCCCTTCCCTTACAATTCTTCTTCAGTCAAGAGTATCACCATTCATTCATTCAAAGCTCCAAAGTTAGAATCATGTATATGTATGTGAATCAGTAACAGACCAGCTATAAAGAAAGAAAAAACCATCAAAATGCTAAGTTATAGTCAAATTAGGATGTCACAAGGTTCTGAGTTTCCTAGTGAAGGAAGAAATGGAAGGTCAGTGGTGACCCCCATTCATCCTCATCACACGTGGTATCATCCATTATAACCTCCCACCCCAACAATGGACAAAACAGTTGAGTTGTTGCTCCACTATGGAGATCACACACCACAGAATGGACTTCCCAACAAGCCATGACTAAAATGCGATGTTCATTCATTCACATGAATATCACATCCACTAACACCTCACATTTCTAGATCCCCACTGACAAAGATATGAGTTTCTTCTGTATTTCATCTTCACTCTCATAGTTAATACTTTGTTTCTCCCCCAAGCTCCCAGTCAATTGCTCACTCCCATTCTCCTTTCAAACCTTTGCAATGTACTGTCTGGAACTCTCAAAGACTCCCTGCAGCACTCTCAGGAAGGAGCTGCTGTCTTCTCATACCTAATCAAGGTAAAAGTCTTGACGTAGCATCCTCACTACTACTATCTGCTGCTTCTCCTCTTCTCCTTCATAAAAAACCCATATTCCATTGAGCTTCAAGATAATTAGGTGTACTACCTTGTGCCCACCCACATGATAATCATCACCTTCTACTAATACCCAGGATGTAAACTAAAGACTTTGGCATTTTGAAGGATTTAAAAACCTTTCTCTCCACCATTCTGTATTCAACATTCCAATGGAAGGACACATCCCTTATCCTGATGTTCCACTTCAACCATCTACTCAAGTAGCTGACCATAAACTGAAGCAGCTTGTCTGTGCCCCAACTGTTCCACTTCTGAAATAACATCCTACTACAAAAGAGTCTATGCTTCCAACTTACACTCTCTCTCCATTACTCACAGCACATGTGATATTCTACCACAATGAGCTCTTCAGGACACTTTTTCCTCTTCCATCACCCTCCCCGCTTTCTTCATATCTCATCCTATTCTGCATAGAATCTATGGTTTCTCATCTTAACTATTATTTACAAATACCCTAAGTTCTCTTGTCCCCTTTCCTTTTGTTACCTATTTACTAAATACCAATCTTAGATAAAACCAATTCTGTCCCCTTTATGCCTAAATCAAGGCTGATAAACAATAGAGAGTAAAATTATAAAACAATTTCATTAAGCCTATTGAATTCACAAGTTTTCGATCTCAGATGGACAGGGGTCTTGCTGTTTCCCTCGTGAGCACATGCCCCTCCAGGGCTGATTCAAATGTTCACCCTCTACTCAAACCCACAACCCACCTACAACCTCTACTTAACATAAGACCTTTTTTTTTCTGTTCCAAAAGACAACTCTCTCAACTTCTTGCCATCAAACAAACCTACTTACATCCACACTCACCATTTTCCAAGGTCTCTTGCTCCCCACTCTTAAATTACTCTGTCTTCTGGATCACTCTTCAGAGGCATTATACCACCAATTATCCTCCCTCTGCTTAATTGTATCCCCCTATTAAAGGACAGAATCTTAATCTTATCATTTCCCTAGTGAGATTTAAACATATTCAAGTCTCGCCAATTTCAAACACACACACACACACACAAATCCACTGGAACAGAAGTCCCTCTCTAGGTATTCTCTTGAGCCTCTCTTCTCCTTGCCATTGCTAAACTACTTATAAAATTTGCCAACATGGGCCTCCCTGTTGGCGCAGGGGTTTGAGCACAGCACTGTGAAGTTGTCTGCAGCCTCTGCAGCGTGGGTTCAATTCCCGGCCGGCCAGGGGGATTCCCACATGGCGCAGCAGACCTCTCCTGTCATGCCCACTGCTCCCCTCAGCAGTGTAGTTCAGTAGATCTGCCTGTTCTGTTCCCCACTCTGTCTCTGGTGAATCCTCTCATCCTCCCATGCCTCCCGCCTATACCCCAGCTCTTGTATAAAAATAAATAAATCTTTAAAAAAATAAAATAAAATTTGCCAACATGATCTCCATGTCTTTACCTGCCATCTATTCTAAACCACAAACTGGCTTCTACCTCACTAAAATCTCTAGAAAAAGTAAACATCCACTTACTAAATTAATGTTCATTTAAAATGGGGGGGTGGTGGTAGCTGATGGTATAATGCCCCTGAAGAAAGAGCCAGAAGACAGAGTAATTTAAGAGTGGGGAGCAGGAGACCTTGGAAAATGGTGAGTGTGGATTCCTTATTTGATTCCTCAGAGGCATTCAAACTGTTGACATTCTTTCTTGAGCTCTTACATTGATGTCATAATTAACTGCATTTTGCACTCTCACCTGATTCTCTGACAATTCTTCCACAATCTCCTTTCTCAATTCCTTTTCTGATTCAATGTTAACATCCAACACTGCATGTCTGTCTTTAGGACTCTATTTTGCCTTCAGATCTTACTCTCAAATCCCCTCCCTACCCCATGTAATATCATCCATTTCTTTTGTTTCAAATACCAGCTTTAAACTATGACTTTCAAATCTACATCTCTAGACCAGAGGTCTCTCCTGATTTCCAAAATAATCTATCTGAATGCCTATTTAACATCTCCAAATAGATGTCTTACAGGTACCTCAAACTCAGTGGGTCCACCACTAACCTTTTCTTCCTCCACAAACATGCTCCTTTCTCTGAATTTCTTATCTCAGGAGATGGGAACCTACCATACAGCCAATTTCTCAGATCACAAACTGGGGTTTCATCCCTTTGGTTCCCTACAGTGTCATCACCAGGTACAATGACTCCACCTTCTAAAGAACAATTTAGCATCCCCTTTTCTAACCCTAAATGCTACTGCTCAATCTCCCTACTCCAACCAAAGCCAACAGTTATCTTTCTAAACCAACTACTTCTATTTAAAGTACTTGTCTGGGGCCTCCCCGGTGGCGCAGTGGTTGAGCACTGGGTTCCAAAGCTGCTGTCAGCCTCTGCAGCACCAGTTCAATCCCTGGCCTCTGGGCGAGGGTCCAACATGGCGCGCAGACCTCTCCTGCTGTGCCCGCTGCTCCCCTCAGCAGTGTACTTCGTCAGTCTGCCTGCTCTGCTCTCCCCTCTGGCTCTGGTGAATTCTCTCAACCTCCTGCGCTTCTGACTGTACCCAGCGCTTGTATAAATAAATAAATAAATCTTTAAAATAAAATAAAATACTTGTCTGATTAAAAGTTCTTCAGTAGCTCCTGTTGACTGTAGGATAAAACCCAAATTTCTTATAATAGTCATAACTGTAAACTACCACTTTCAAATGCTCACCAAGTGGTGAATACCTAGTATTCAACTTTACAAGGTCAATATAATTAATTCTTCTTTTAGAGACAAGGAAAAGGAAACATAGAGAGTTAAGAATCTAATCTCACCACAAAGTTATTGAGTGGTCATAGCCAGGTTTTGAACTAAAGTCTTCTTCCAAAGTCCATATATCAATTGCCAAAAAATTGTCATTCAATCCCTTTCACAATATGACCCTGTTTCACTTTCAGAGTTAGTGTCCATTCTTTCTCATACACTGTATTCTGGCCTCTTTACAAGCCATTTTTTCAACGATAAATCCTATGCCCCCCAGTTTTAACCTTCCCCATTCCTTTGTCCAACAGACAAATTCTTAGTTTTTCAAGGCTTGGCTCAAAGACACTATTTTTTTTTTTTTATATTTATTTATTTATTTTTGCATAGAAGAACTGGAGTGTAGGCCAGAGGTGTGGGGGATAAGAGGATTCACAAGAGACAGAGTGGGGAACAGAACAGCCGGATTTACTGAAATACATTGCTAAGGGCAGCAGCGGGCGAGACAGGAGAGGTCTGCTGCACCATGTGGGTTTATTCCCTGGCCGGAGTATTTTTAAAGATAACATAGGAACAAAGAAATGAAAGGAAGTATAAACCCAAAATATTTTATTTTCTAAATGAAAATAAAACAAAGGCAGTTTCTAATTAAAGTGTTCGGTAAACTGATAAACATCTAAAATCTTATTTATATTCAATATGAATACATAAATTATGCTGCAGAGCAACTATATTTATAATTTTTTAACCTCCCTTAAAAACAGACTCCAACTGGCACCCCTGGTGGCTCAAGGGGTTAAGGACAGCACTATGAAGCTATCCGCAGCCTCTGCTGGCCAGGGAGTTCCCCACATGGTGCAGCAGGCTTCTTCTGTCTCGCCCGCTGCTCTCCTCAGCAGTGTATTTCAGTCAGTCGGCCTGTTCTGTTCCCTGCTCTGTCTCTGGTGAATCTTCACACACACCCCACACACCTCTGGCCTGTACCCCAATTCTTGTATGCATAAATAAATAAGCCTTAAAAAAATAGACTCTAACTGGAAGAGGGAAAATTATTAAAGTTGCCTCGATGCTCTACCTTTAAATCATTTTACAAAAAAATGCCACAGAAATGTTCTTCTTAAAGCTAGAATGAAGTAATAAACCACAGACTGTTTCTGGAAGTAACCAAAAGGAAAAACTGAAAAACTCAATTTGGATTTCTGTAAAACATTAGTAGAGACTTTCTTCTATTTTACAAAGGTAGGTGCAAATGTAGCCCAAAGACAAGGAAGAAAACAAAATCTCTCCCCACATCCTTGTACACGAACTACTTTCTACCAAAAAGGCTAGCATTTAGCAAAAGCTGAATGGAAATGTACACTTACTGCCTGTTGTCTAGCACAGTGCATGTTAGAAGATAAACCCTTTAATAGAAAGGCTGAATAATATGTGCACACGTTATATATATTACACACATCAGCGTAATTACAATATACACGTATTTTATTCCTATATACATGTACATGTACAGATACATTAATTTATCCATTTTAACTTTGAGCTTTCTAAGTAGAATTTTCAAAAGAACAGAAAAACATAACCACCTACCTTAGATTTGTCTTAATATATTTTTTCCTGCCACATTTGTTCATTATTAAGACATTTGTAATCAATGTTCTCCTCCTTTCCTGTTTTCTTCTTTATTTATCCTGTGGTGAAAGTATAACATTGAATTTGAAGATCATAATATTTTATTTCTATAAAATGGAAAAAATTCAAAAAACTTAACTGATATCCAATTTCTCAGACTATTTTCTATTGGAGAGCCATGCTGAATAAGTCATTTAAAAGATACTATAATATACAGCTTATAGGTATCAGTTTCATTTCTAACTAATAATAATCACCTAATAAACTGAATTTTTTTCTCTTAAATCTTATTCTACCGCAACAAATTTGTCAACCAGTTTTCATTTAACTTAAATTTAAAATTGAATTTGTCAAAGAATTTTGGCTCCAAACAAAACACCAAGTTTAATTTAAAATTTCCTCAGACACCCTTCAATACATTTAAAAAGTTGTTTTAGATACTCTAGCAAGGGCCTCCCTGGTGGTGCAGCGGTTGAGCGCTGGGCTGCGAAGCTGCCCACAGCCTCTGCAGCACCGGTTCGATCCTTGGCCGCTGGGCGAGGGTCCCTCATGGCGCGGCAGACCTCTCCTGCCACCCACTCCTCCCCTAAGCAGTGTACTTCGGTCCTTCTGCCTGTTCTGCTCCCTGCTCTGGCTCTGGTGAATTCTCTCACCCTCCCGCGCTTCTGACTGTACCCAGTACTTGTATAAATAAATAAATAAATCTTTAAAAACAAACAAACAAAAAAAAAAAAACAAGCATCTTTTTGATACTCTAGCAATTGATTCCCTTTTTTTTTTTTTTACTAATATCTTTTAAAAATAGACACTTGACATGCTGAATGAAGTAAAATTGGCAAAGAAAAAGACAAAAAGATGTCTAGGTATGCTTAATTCATTTAGAGTTGGAAAGGACAAAAACATGTGCATCACAAAGAGCTTTCTGGCATCTATGCCAGCAACGGTGGGGCTTTGCTGCACACATACAGCTTTCAGGGTTGCCTCCCAAGTGGTCCCCTCTAAAATGGTGTCACACCATCCCAGCAGTTTTGGAACTGAGTCAGTAGGCAGGTTCGCTGCACCTCCCTCAAGGTACTAAGAAAATGGTAATTCCTGCCACCACTTTGGTCCCATCCCAGCCTAGGGACAAAAGGAAGTGGTAAGGCATTTGAACAAGGCTACTTATAACATGAACAAAAATCAAGGAATGGTGCCATTCCTAAGATTAAACTGTATTCTATGTTATGTTATGTTGACATTTTATATGGAGGCATATTATAGTTCTTAAAAATTGTATAGCAAGAGGGCAAAGACCATATATTCACTGAACAGTGACTTGCACCAATGATATAGCAGGCCCTTATGCCAGGAACCAGAGAAATAGGTGATGAAAGCTCTGGAAGAGCTTGCAATATAATGAGAGCCAGATGTTTAAACAAAGAATAATGATAAAATTATTTGAATAATGATGATGATCATGGCAGCACATAAGAGATTTGTTAACTACTGTTTTCTATATTTCTCTGAGAAAAAATTTTTGTTTTATTTTCGAGCAATACATTGTTGTGGTTGAGAGTTTTTAAGTAGAAAAAGATAGTCAGTGCAGTTCCAGGATAGCCATCTATTTCCTCTTTCCAGTGGCAACCAGCATTGAAGTACCAACTTCCTGCCACAGAGCCACAGAATGTAAAACAAGAATCACTAGCCTCATACCAGAAGAATGACCATCAGAAAACTTGGCCCTGAGTCATGCTTATCAGAAAATTACTTCATTCCAACTACTTTTTAAGAAGTCATCAATGACTGACTGCTTGCCAAATGTAAAAGGATACCCTTTAGTCCCTATGTTCCTTAACATCCCTACAGCATTTCCTACTGGCCAAATTTATCCTCCTTCAACTCTTTATGATACCACTCTCATGGTTTTCTTCCAAATTATCCAGTCCTTTGTTCTCAGGTTTTTTGGGGGTCCACTCTTTAAAGGCTATTCCCTAGGTGCCAAGTTACAAAAATCCACTCCACATAGTCTCCCAAGGCTATGTCACCCTCACTTGGTGAGTCTCAAATCTCATCTCCTCAGCATTCTCCTGGGCTCTACCTGTATGTTATCTGCCTATTAGGTGTTTCTTATGGTTTGTTTACCTCAAGCCCAAAACTAACCTCAACTCCCTCACTCTGCATCTTTCCCCCTGGTACATGCTTATCTCAGTGACTGACATCACGAAGATTCAGCTACTCCATCTGGGACTCCTCCTCTCCCTTTATTCCCCACTTCCTCTAGTCCCCACTTCCTCAGGAGGCAATGTGGTCTGGTGTCAATAGTACGGTAGTGGTGTGGTATAAAAAACTGGCATTAGAGTTTGGTATGGGTGTTAACAGGAGTTCTATCACTTATTAGCTATGTGATCTCACACAATTATTTGATTTCTTCAAGCATCCTCTCCTATCTGTCAAACAGAGATGACACCAATCTTGTCGTAAGGAGGAAATGCAAAAATGTAGTATGTCTAACCGTGCTTATCACTACCTTAGTCAGCCTCAATAATTTTATCTCCTAAATCTCTCTTAACTGCTCCATTCTCTTCATCCTCACTGCTACTGCTTTAGTTCTGAAACTGAACATTTGTTAAAGTAGTCTCTCTATAATTACTTCATCTCACTCAAACCTCACCTCAATTCCTTTTAATCCACTCCACAGTCCATAACACTCTATTCAAAATGCAAATCCAAGCATACTATTTCCTCATTTAAAATCTCCAATTGTGCCCTCTCTTAAGAGTAAATAGCCAAAATTCTGAGCATTATAATTTAAAGTACTAATAAAATTTATTGTAAAAGCTTTCAGATTTTAAGATACGACATTCCTTTCAGTTAAAACAAGTTCCCAGGTCAAAATTACCTTGTGTAAAATGCCTTTCACAAAGATGATGCTGAAAGAAGGAAGTCCCTTCCAAAGTCAAAGCCAATGCAAAAGTTTTAAAGGGCAAGGAAGTAGTGTTGAAAGGTGTCCACAGTCATTTAAAAAAAAAATCTGTATATCACTCACACCTGGCCCAAGACCCTGCAGCTCTGAAGGCGATCTAGTATCTTCAGAAGAGTGCACTCAGAAGAAAGTTTGACCACTAACACCATCATCAAGTTCCCCCAACCATCATGCTGGCCATGAAGAAGACAGAAGACAACACAATTGTGTTCACTGTAGACTAAGGACCAACAGACAAGAAGCAGCTCTATGACAATGACATGGCCAATGTCAACATCCTGACCAGACATAATGGAGAGAAGGCACAGGTTTAACTGACTCCTGACTATGATGCTTTGCATGTTGCCAACAAAACGGATCATCTATATTTAGTCCAGTTGGCTAATATTAAATATAAATTTTTTCACTGCTAAAAAAATTCATCTCGCATGGATTTATAAAGCAGGAGGCCTCCCACTTTACAAGTATTTACTATGCATACTTTGAAAAACCTAACTGCTCTTCATGCTCATCTCAACTCTTGTTTTAACGCCTTAGAACATTCTCTTAATGAACAGACAAGGGTTGACTCTCCATCCCCCACCCACACATATATAAATTCCTAAATGGGTAAGAGTTCAAGCGTCCCTGTCTGTTTTCATTATGGGCTTAATACAGCACATAAGTATTCCATTTAGCCTAAAGCATACTCCTCGAATTCATCATATGTTTCATGAGCATAACTTTGAAGCTGATCTCCTTATGACTAAAATTTCAAAGGATATTGATAAAATGCCCCATGTACTATAACAGTATAAATAATTTTAATATCTTGTCTTTTAAAGTCAAAGAAAATTTTATCTTTCAGAGTAGAAAGGCATATTTTAGACTGGAAGCAAATATGGCTTTTGTTGAAACAGATTAACTCAAAATTTTTGTGCTGCATATCAAAGAAAGCTGTTTATCATAATGGTAAAAACTTTCTATAATACATTAAATTTGATTACAAAAACAATATTTAGTTACACCTTACTCCTCACCTGTATATTGCTCTATTCACCTTCTGGCACAAGTTTTATTTAATTTGATTATTATCAAGTATTCCTTAAAATATAATTTTCCACAGATATTTTTAAATACATTCATTAAAGATAGCATTATATTTACACTCACAAAATTTTGAATACCTATTCTGCTGTTGTTAATTTTAATATCTTAACTTTCTGAAACATTAGATATATCTAAGAATCAAACTTCTTGGGCAACTTTAATATAAAACTTGCTTAACCAATTTCCACCTCACCAACAACTCTCTGTATTTACCAATATTCTCCATTCCTTCTGTAAAGCTTACAATTTACATAATGCCCACCCAAGTGTTCTCTGGAGTGTCCAAGATCTTCTATTTCTACCAGCTGGAGTGTATGCTTACCAAGAGTTACTCACATTTATCACCAAACTGAAACATGCCTGTCATACTTACTGTTGCAATCTTGTAATTGTCAAACAGTATGTCAGATAAAATCATTGAAAAAGAGAGCTATTCTTATGAAAACCAAGTTGAATGCTTTGGAAAGCCCATAAAGGCAGTAAATAAGTATTTTTAAAAAGTGTTGCTTTGGATTAGAATATTCTAAAGATGGTCCTTCTCAACCAAATGGATTAAAAAATTGGGAGAAAGCAGGCCTAGGCAGAAGAGAGCAGTTATTACAAAGTGCCACATACCTGAAGCTGACAAAGATGACATATGGTTATTATGCATTTTGGGAGAAGGCGGTGAGTACAGGAAAAATAAGAGGTAAGTCATAACAGGAAATCATACCACTCTTAAAGTGAAGCAAGGTTAAAATAACTTTCAAATAACAATCTTTACACTTCTGTGTAAAAATAGAAGTAGCAAAAAACAGTACTTGTAAATAATTATTTGAAACAATTGTAAATATCTTTAATTTTTTTATATGAATCATAGATAAAATCAGATGACTTTCTAATATAGATTGAAGGTATTCTTCTTTAATTCCTTCAGAGACCTGCTTCAAGAAATCTTAACTCTTTGCTAAAACCACCAAAGGATTAACTATTTGAGGTGCTTTTTCTTTTTCAATTCATTTCCCACATGGTGCCTGCTTTCGGTTACTTCAGTCAATGAACAGCAGAATCAAGCTAAGAAGGAAATGGAAAATGACATTCAAATACTCATGGCTTATTTCACCCCTCCAAGCACACCCTTAATACCTCTTCATGAAGATAAAATTTTAAGTCTTCTGAGGGGTGCCTGACTAGGGCCATTGTAGGGTTCTTTTCAATAGACAGCATGCTACATTATTGTATACTGAATACATTTCAAAACATTTGCACATTAAGTACTACTGCATTGACTATTAAAATTTATGTAGTTATATTAAACCTATAACTATAAAGTAACTAGTAAATCTGGGAAAGAGATAAGACACTCGAATTAGCTAATTTAAGAAATTAATTTCCATGGTTATACTTACCTTTAGTGTATTTGGAAAAAATTAGTATCTTATTAAGTACAGAAAAATACCTGAATAAGTTAAATTTAACTCCTCTATCAATTTTAAGATGAGCAAAAGCACTCCAAACATTCAAATACTGTAACATGGTTATATATGACACAGTTGCCCCAATTCTAGAGCTGAAGCTTTCATCATAAAAAAAAAAAAAAAAAAAAAAAAAACAACCCACCATTTTCTACCATCACTGGAAAAAATTAAGCCTGCTTGCTATGAACAAATCTGTATGCCATCTGACATTCCGAATTATGATGTTCTAAGTTGGCTGTGTTAAAAACACAGCTTAACTAAGATAACTTTGAAAAAAGTTTATTTTTTGAAATTCCCAAAGTAAAGTATTAGAATCATATAAGCCTTACTGTTAAAATTTCACAAGATTTTATTTTGGTATTTAACTGTTCTGGTCATATCATTCATCAGAAAATATATGTGAAGATGCTTCCCATTTTGAGAGAACCAGAGGCTTCAAATGAGCCTCACACAAGAATTGCCAATAAGGTTTGCTTAGAAGCAGTCATTCTTCTTCAATCATGAGATAGTTATTTAAAGTCGAAGTAAAACTCCAAAATAGCTTCCTAAGCCTATGCTTTTCCTCAAAATTGTTGCCAGTAATTTCCTCTAACACTCTTGGGAATGCCAGTCAAGAAATGTGCCAAAACAAGTATTTTAATTTTTTGACTTTGCTATAACAGGATTAGAACAAGACTTAGGTGTTTTCACGAGTAGTAGCAGAACAAAAATTCCCACTCAAGTTAGCATTAGGTTTTCCCTCTTCATTCCTCTGTTGGATAGCTTAAGAATGTCAGAAAAAGGAACTCCATGAGTGAAAGGGGTCAGAATGGGGGGGGGGCTGCAATTGTATGGGGAATATAAAAATAAAATTTATTATTAAAAAAAAAAAAAAACAAAAAACAGTACACTCTTTATTGGGCAGGTCCCATGGTAAAAAGTATTTTAAACACCTTACACATTCTTTAAAAGGAAATTAACAAACTAGTTTAAGAGGTTTATTTCTACCCATGAATAACAGATGAGAAACTTTCCTGAAATCTCTATTTTTATAACCTATACATCTGTATTAATAATTTGAAATTACATTCAATGTAAGATGATAGCTCTTTTCAAATTTAACTTTTATATTTGGAATCCATCAGTTCAATAAAGTAGAAATACTTCACAGAATTCAAAGACAATTTCAGGTTTATTTCCTTAACCAATGTTGATTGTACATCAAAATATAAATGCTGTTCGGCTGCTAAGTGTTTGCATTGTTTAGTTTTATTTTTAAAAGTATCTAAATGGACCATGACACTTGAGAGCTTTGGAAAAGACTGCTCAACAATAAACTTGGCACAATTTTCTGGTGTAATACTTATAAAGAATATCAAGCCAGGGAAAGAATCAGGACCAGAAATACATGTCTATACCAATAAAGATTCAGTCAGGATCCTTGTGTATGTTAATCTGAAACTCTTCCTTACTTTTGATGAAATGGCCATAATTCTAAAGAAGATTTCAAACTTTGATCATGCATGACTTCCTCGGTAGGAAACTAGAGTAGCTGATGAAATCTGAAGTGTGTAAGTACCTCAGTAGAAGCAATGTTCATTAACCTTCAGAGAAACGGGAAAACAAAGACTAAAGAGCTCCTCTGTGTTTAAACAGCCAATAAAAATTTATTCACATACTCTTGTAAAAATACGTACACACACACAAAAAAAATCAGTAATCACAACTTCACACTCACCAAAATGATTCCATGTTGACCAGCAAGTCACTGGGAAAGCATTTGCTTACATTGATGTATTTGGATATACCAAAAGTGTCTGTCATTATCCATTGGTAATATGACATGCTTTACTCACCCAGGACCAAAGCCACTTAAATATCTTCTTTAAAGTTGTTCCTTAAATATCAGTTTTTAATACTTAGCATGTATTAGCCAAAACACAGCTTGCGAGTTACCTTACTTTGGTTGGGTGGTGGCAGGGGGAGTTACTTTTAGTTCACAAAGATTCAGAGATTACTATGATTTATCAAAGAAAAGCAACTTGTTACCCCAAAACAGGATCAAGAGTAGAAGATGTGGTACCGAAGGAAAAAAAGCAGAAAACATGAATTATTAAAGTAATCTAATACAACTTTCATACGGTATCTCTACCACTACACATCTACATTTGTATTTCTTTCAAGGGAAGGTGGCTGCATTCCTACCCACTTGGCAGATGAAGCAGAAAAGAAATTTTATTAAAGTCATGTGTAAATAACCTACACTGTTAAAGGAGACCCTTTCAGGTTTAGTCTGACTTTTCAGGTTGATCTTGTTAAGTCAAAATTTCTAAAAACTTGATCGCAAACTGACAGCTGTTTCACCGAGCACGATGGAGAAAACTCTGATTTCAAACGTAGGAACCTGGTACAACGTGGAACAGGCAGCAGGTTAAAGAACTAAGTCAAATAACGTTACCCATTTATTCAGCAGGTTCTGGGAAGCCTGCTGGAGGTCCTTAAAAGGCAAAAATCAAAAGTAAAGACTCAGAGAAACTGCAGCCTGTATGAGCGGTCGCGGATCTGTTCCTTCTTCGCCACCTTATAAAGTCCTCGCATTATCTCATCAGATCTATCATGTCTGGGGGACTGAAATGACTCAACAGCAATCTCCCTCGGACTCGTTTCCGAGAAGGAATCGGTGAACGTCAGTTAAACTAAAGACCTAAAATTGGGACAAAGGTGCTCCCAATTGTCGGTTGTGGTGGGAAAAAACCCGCGTCCTTACATCTTGTTTTCTTTTTTATTTTACAAGAGGGGGAGCCACATTCGTCAGAAAGACTTTTCCAACTTTTGCCGAGTTCAAAAGGAATCAAGGACTCAGAGAGCAGCCGAGCCCGGTCCAGGCTGAGCAGAGCTACGCGACTAAACCGAAGCAGGTCGCGGGCCGAGCGGGGCGGCGGGCGTCCGCCGCGACGTCCGGAGGCCCAGGGGCCGGCGCAGCGGGCTCGGAGCGGGGAGGACGCCAGGCCGGGAGGCCGCTCTGCCCCCGCTCCCCGCTCCCCGACGGGGGCCCGGCGCCCCCGACCCGCTGACACCAGGCTCCGCTCCGCCTCCTGCCTCCGCCTCCTGCCTCCGCCTCCTGCGCCGCGTCGCCGGCTCCTAGGTCTCTGGGTCCGGGGCCGAAGCGCCACTTACCCGCCGCGAAGGGATTTACGTAGCGGACCTCGTCACTGATTACGGACGGGAGGAGGTGGAGACGGCGAGCCCGACCGCCGCTCAGGAGCGGCGCCGCCGCCCAGCAACCCGGCGCCGGCGCCGGCGGCGGCCCCACGTCGTCCCCACGTCAGCTCTGATGCGGCAGCCACGACCTCCCCGCCGAGCAGGGACCAAAAGTAGCGCCGCAGTCGACCGAATCGCGTCCTCGAGCCCCGCCCTCCCCTCCCCCACGGGCCTCCCGCCTCCCGGGGGACGCCCGACGGAAAAATCCAAGCTCGAACTCCGCCCCCTGCCGGCCGCCGGCGGGAGTGCGGCGCTGACAATCCAACAATTAAATGGAACGGGGGGAGGGTGGGAGTGGGGGCGTTGAATGGGGTCAGAAGGCAAGGGGCCGGGGGGTGGGGGGTGCGGAAGGAGGGGAGGAGGCGGGACCCAAGGGGCGGGGTCCGGAGGCGGTGCTTGGCTGAAGACACCGCGGAAGAACGACTGTGGGGTGCCGCCTGAGGGAAGCCGGAAGTAGCCGGGGCAAGTGCGCGTGCGCTTGCGAGCCTGTTAGTGACAAACTGAGGTAACGGCTGGTGCTGCGGTCGCTTTGTCTCGAGAGCCTGTTTTTAGGCTACTGTTAGGGCGGCCCCGACCCCAAGTAGAGGTCCGCGAGCGTTGTGGGGTGCTCCCGGCCGGAGGCGCACCCTGTGGGTCTCCGGGACACGAAGCTGTTCCGCCCCCTCGGCCCTGCAGTGCCCTGGGCCTGCCTGACTGGGTAACGCCTTTACCCAGTAGATGCCCGGCTGGACTCGAACCTGTGGGAGCCCCGACTGGCCGCCCTCGTTCCCAGCCTGCTGCCGCCTCCACGTGACCTTGTCTAGGCTTCCGAGTCGCAGAAAAACAGCTGTAGACCCCACTTGGAAATGTGAAGGAGAGGAAGGCGTTGGAAACGATCAAATATCCTTACCCATAAGGGGAGGTGGTTTTCATCTAAATGGAAACCCAGGGCTTTCCAGAAAGAGTAAGGTTCCTGCCTATAAAGCAGTCACCTATTGTTGCTCATAACAAAAACAGTAAATCAAAGGAGGTCTCAGAGAGGTGGACGTTTAGCCCGAACAATCAGCCACTTTACATTCGGGAAAAAGGAAAAAATGATCTAAAAGCCAACCTTGTACTCAGGAATGTGCCAACACTGGAAACCACTGTCAAGGACAGGACTTGAAAAGTTGCTGTGAAAAAACAAAAACATCAATGTAGTGCAGGTAGAGAAGGAAAAGTTTATGAAGTATTAGAATCTTGGTGAGTTGGAGAAAATTCTGACTTTAGTGCTAAGTTTTGGTCACCCTAAAATACTTCCAGTAGTATGTAGTGAAGAAAGTACAAACCTGGTAAGTTCACTTCCCTCTTTTGATACGAGGCAGAATTATGAAATGCCTTCCTATTTTGTAACAGTTGATATCTGTTACCATCACCTTATAAAACTATTACGTTAGCGCAGAAAAAGAGGTCGTTAGAAAAAAAGAAGAAAGGCCAGGCTACTAAGCCCTGCAAAATCACTCTGTGCCCAAGGTTCAGCTTGTGCTGGATCAATAAATATTTAGCTACAAGAGATAAAGGGGAAATTTTATGATCATTCCTCCCCAAACATTTTAATTCACCTATTTATCCCTAAATTTCATTAATGTAATATATGTATTTTAGAATAATAAACTTTAGAATCTATTGAACAGAGTTTAAAATGCAATTGTCATATCAAGTTTTTCAGAGCAGGGACGAATACCTACTCTTCTGGAGAGCAAAAGACAGATTACTTGGGGTAGGAAGGGAGAGGGAAAGTGAGAGCAGAAAATTTACAGGTGGTTTCCTATTACTGCTATGACAAATTACCAAAAACTTAGACTAAACATAACACGAATTTATTATTTTACAGTTACAAAGATCAAAAATCTGACATGCATCTCCTTGGGCTAAAATCAAGAGGTTGGCTCCAGGAAAGAGTCCAGTATCTCTTCTTTTTCAGCTTTTAAAGGTCACACACATTTTTTGTTTCATGATCCTTTTCCTCCAGCTTCAAACTCAGAAACAGCTGCTTGAGCCCTTTATCCTATGGGCTCTCTCCTTCCTCTTCCTATAAGAACTCCTGTGATTATGTTGGGCCCACTTTAATAGTCCTAATCCAGGATAGTCTCCCATCTCAAAGTCAGCTGATTAGCAAGCTTAATTCTATCTGCAATCTTGATGTCTCTTTGCCATGTGACCAAATATATTCATAGGTTCTAGAAATTAGGATGTGAACACATTTGGGTGCCATTCTGCCTACCCACAGTAAAGGATTCCAAAAGAAGCTTGAGCTACTGAGACAAATCACCTGCCTCTCAGGATCATTCTTTGCAAATAACTCAAGCACTGGATTTAGAAATGCCAGTAACTGATTTTTCAGTTTATATGTACCATAAGAATACAATTAATTTAAAGTGAATACTAGGGATAAAGAAGAGCAGCATAGTTATAGAATATCCTCATTTTGTATGATCAGCCACGTTAGTATCAACATGTCTTCAAAATTTGCACTCAGTAGGACCTAGTCTAAATGCAAGCTTTGTTCAATCTTATTTTCATAGATCACTTCTAGGAGAATTAGATCTACAACACAATTCTTATCACAGAACAAAATAGTAATCCTTATCAGGCCAAAAGAAAGTAATGTCAAAATATCTTTTATGATGTAGAATCTGGTTTTTTTTTTGTATACTACCAATATTTCACTCTATAGATACTTATTTTATTTGTGAAGGTCAAGAAGGTCTTATCAAGATGATAAAGGTCAAGAGACTTTTTATTCTCTTAAAATCAATATTGATACTGGAATACATAATTTATCTAGCAATGTCCAAGAATACAATGCTTTGGACGAAGAAAGCAAATATAATACATGGTGTAATCAACACATACTTGCATGCCCTCCGAACCATGGCCTCTGCCATTGCCTTGCCATGAGCTGTAACAGAAGTTAGAAACCACGATATCTAACATGCAATTTTCATATCCTCTTTAGAAAGGCATAAGTTGTTAAGGGAAAAGTAAAAAGGAATGTAAAATATAGACTAGAAAGAAAATAGAACAATAACCATACATCTTAGGGTTATTATAAAGATTAAATGAAGTATCTGGCATAGGGCAAGTGCATTGATCCAGTGCCTGTATTTTGGGGTTCCTCACCTAGTTAACATTCTTTGTTGAGGGGGGACAATTAGACCATCGGCTTTTTAAAATTTTTTTAAAAAAGATTTTTCAAAAAAAATGCCTGGGAGTAAAGCTAACAAAGGAGGTAAACGATCTATACAAAGAAAACTATAAGACATTGTAGAAAGAAATAGAAGACACAGAGAAATGAAAAAATACTTCCTGTTCATGGATTGGAAGAATCAACATCATCAAAATGACCACCTTATCCTATGCAATATACAGATTCAGTGCAATCCCAATAACATCAATGGCATATTTCAAAAAATTGGAGCAAATACTACTGAAAACTCACATGGAATCACAAAAGACCCCAAGTAGCAAAAGCAATCTTGACAAAGAAGAAAGAGAATGGAGTTATCACACTTGCAGACCTCAGGCTGTATTTTAAAACCATAGTAACTACAAAGCCTGGCACTGGGACAAAAACAGACACAGAGCAATAGAATATAACTGAGAGTCCAGAAATAAACCTACATATATGTGGACAGATAATCCATGATGAAGCAGTCAAAAACATACACTGAACAAGTATAACCTCTTAAATGGTGTTGGGAAAACTGGACAACTGCATGCAAAAAAATGAAACTAGACCATGCTCTCACACCATGCACCAAAATCAACTCAAAATGGATAAAACACTTGGATGTAAATCCTGAAACAATAGAAAACATAGGCAAAATATTTCATGACATAAACTTTAGTGGTATCTGTAGGGATTCATCCCCAACAGGATGGGAAACAAAAGAAAACATAAACTTCTGCACAGAGAAAGAAACTCTAACTAAAAAGACACCCTACTGAATGGGAGAAAAGATTTGTACACCATGCATCTGACAAAAGACTGATAGCAAAAATATGCAAAGAATTCATAAAACTCTACAAAAAAAAAAAAACAAGCCAATCAAAATGATAAAAGAACCAAACAGACCCTTCTCCAAAGAAGACATTAAAAGGCCAGTAGGCACATGAAACAATGTTCACAATCACTTATTATTGGACAAATGCAAATCAAGACCACAGTGAGATACCATCTCACACCCGTGAGAATGGCTCATATTGAAAAAGACCAGAAACAACAAGTGCTGGTGAGAATGTGGAGAAAAGGGAACACTCCTACGTGGCTAGTGGGAATACAAACTGATCTAATCCTTCTGGAAAGCAGTATGGAGATGTCTCAGAACATGAAAACTGGATCTGCCATTCAACCTAGTAAATTCCACTCCAAGGCATTTACCCCCAAAATTCAAAAACACAAATTCAGAAGAAGATTTGCATTCCCATGTTTATTGTAGCCCTATTCACTGTAGTTATAATATAGAAACAAACTAAGTGCCCCAGAACAGATGAGTGGATCAAGACAATGTGGTATGTGTACACAGTGGAATACTACTCAGTGATCAAAAAAGATAAACTCATGCCATTTGCAGCAACATGGATGGAACTTGAAAGGATAGTGCCAAGTGAAATAAGTCAGAAGGAGAAAGAGATATATCAGGTGGTGTCATTAATAATGAATGTAAAGTTATTAAATTGATAGTCAAATCATTTAAAAAAGAAAAAATAGTAAAAAGGAAATAGAACAAAGCATGGAAAAATAAAACAAAAAGATAATGAAGGGGCAAAAAGGAAAAGACAAAAAAGTGGAGACAAAGTAAAACATGAAGATGGAGGGAGAATTAACAAAAATAGTAACAAGCAATGTGAAGCCAGAATAATTATAAAATATCTAGAACTATGAAATCCTTTGACTAAATGTAAACTTGGAAATGTCATCCAATTCAACTGAGAACCAGTAGCAGTGAATACACTAGCACCCAGATCTTGGTTTCTCATATTCTCCAAGAAAAGAAACCAGGGCT